TTTTGACTGAGATGTCGTCTGAGCACTTGAAATGTGACTAGTATAAATGAGAAAGTGAATTTTTATCTTTAATTAATTTAAACTTAAACTTCCACACGGGACTATTGAATACCACAGTGGACAGCAGAATTCTGGAGGGTATGTGGATGATCTTGAAGGTTTTGTCAACTTTTTGAAATTGAATGCAGATTTGGATGTGATACATATTTTTGTAGAAATGAACCCATGGCTTTCATCCAATTCTCAAACCCTCCCTCCACCAAAAACATGATCTGCTGCTTTAGGGCTTTGGTGAAAAGTAAGCAGTTTAGGGAGGTAAGTATGCCCTCTGGTAACCACTGCTGTTTCTCCTTTCTCATTTTGTCCCTCAGCTTTTAGGTGGCTCTACCCAGACGACAACATAAAGAGAGAAATTAGAATCTGCCACTTCTGGACCCAGATAAATTGTACACTGCTGGAAGGGCGCGATGGCTGTGGCCCTGGGTTGTGCAATCCAGGCCTCCTTGAATCAGGGCTCGGTGTTTCAAGAGTATGATACTGACTGTGAAGTCTTCCGCCAGCGCTTCCGGCAGTTCCAATACAAGGAAGCAGCCGGGCCTCATGAAGCTTTCAACAAACTCTGGGAGCTTTGCTGTCAATGGCTGAAGCCAAAGATGCGTTCTAAGGAACAGATCTTGGAGCTGCTGGTGTTGGAACAATTCCTAACAATTCTGCCCACCGAGATCGAGACCTGGGTGAGGGAACATTGCCCAGAGAACAGAGAAAGAGTTGTGTCACTGATAGAAGACTTACAGAGAGAACTTGAGATACCAGAGCAGCAGGTGAGAAAAGAGTTTGGGATCTTAGTAATTAGATCAAAAGAAGTAGCAGAGGCAGCTGGGACTGGCTCAGACTTTCTGTCTGATACCCCAAGATTTCTCCACAGTGCTTTGCATTTTTTCCCTTCTGCTGGAATTGGTGTATGTTTCAGTGATTCTCAATACTTAAACCAAACTTGTCTTCTTTAACAAATATTTGGCAATGTCCCCTTTACTATCCTAAAATGAAATTTATAGATAATATAATCTACTTATGTATACAAAATTTAAAAAAATCAATATAATAAGTGCTCTGTGGGCCAAATATTGCACAAAGCCTGTTTTTATACAATCCATAAGCTAATAATGGTTGTTACCTTTTTGAAGAGTGATTTAAAAAAAAAGAAGAGTAACAGAACAATATGACCCACAAAGCCTAAAATATTTGCTATCTGTCTCATTACAAGAAAATTTTGCCAACCCTGAGTCAAGTAGAATCTAGAAGGAATATAAAGGAAAAGGAACATGGTTTCTTATGAACTATAGTAAGCATGCACATATTCGGGCTTGTCTGCACCAAAGCTTCATGCAGTTGTCATTTGCTTGAATCTATGCCTAGATCCACTGGGAAGGCAACAGCCAGAACTTTTAACTGATATGATACAGCTCAAACAATGTGAGCAGTGTTGCTGCTGGTCATGTGATTTCTCAAAGTAGCAAGCAGCTCCTGGTCAGTCTGAACAATAAGGAATATCATCTTTGATTTCCAAAGTGACACTTTCCTGGAAAATCCAAGTCATGCTAAAATATACGAAAATATTTTGTGTTTATATGACCAACAGGGTGAGTTTCTTGAAAGGTTCTTTTTACCTCCATGAGTGTTTGAGGGAACATTCCTAAATTGTGTGGGAGGGGGAACCATTCTGCCCTGTGAATTAGGCAGACTGCCATCCCTGCTTCACTCCATTCTGATAGCCATCTTGTCCAAAATGCCCCATGGAGGTGGTGGCACTGGCCTCTGTTCAGAGCCATTGAGTAAAACTCATAGCTGAGCACAGGGCAGAATCTCTGGGAGAAGGGAGGAAGAGCTTCTGGGTGGGCATTAGGGGCACTTCAGCCTGGTATGTGATGGGGCTCTGAGGCCAGCCTGCCTGGACAGGAGTCGTCCAAGGTTCCCGGCCCTCCTAGGACAGCGTGAACTTATGGTTTCCCTTCCTTTCTCTGTCTTCTTGGCTTAGCTTACCATATCAGGTTTGATGTTTGTATGGTCTAGTCGTACACCACCCAGTACAGTAACCACTAGCCAAGGGTGGCTCTTGAGCACTTGAAATGAGGCTAGTGCAAATGGAGATATGCTGTTAAGTGTGAAATGCACACCACATGCCGAAAACTTAGTATGAAAAAAAGTAGGTGTAATACCGCATGAACAGTTGTTTGTATTGATTACATTCTGAAACTATGAGAATTGAGATATATTGGGTTAAACATTACATATTATGAAGACTGACTTTACCTGTTTCATTTCCCGTTTCATATGGCCACTGGAAAATTTACAAAGACATGGGTGGCTTGCATTATATTGCTACTGGGCAGGGCTGGTCTGGACTTGAGTGATGGTTCTGACTTTCCCCAGATCGAGAGGCAGGAAATGCTCTTGGAAGAACTGGCACCCGTGGGAATGGCACCCATACCACCAAACATCCACCTGGAGTCACCCCCACTCCAAGTCATGGGACCTGCCCCAGAGGTCCCAGTGGCAGAGGCGTGGATCCCACAGGCAGGGCCGCAGGAGCTGAGCTTTGGCGCTGCAGGGGAAGGCCAGCCCTTTCTGGACCCTGGTAAGGCAAGGGTTTCATTCCCTTTCTTTGGTTTTTGTTTTGAGAGCTCAAGAGCTCTCCAGGGTTGGGGTTGCATTAGAATACCAATTATGTGATGGAAATGGGCCACTCTGATAAAGAGTAGAAAGAGGAGGTATCTCTCTCTGAGAACAGCTGGATACAAAACACCTTCGACTGAATGGGACTGAAAACCCCTTAAGCTACTGACCCTCCTCAAGAAGGCTATTTCTCTCTTTTCATTTTTTATTGTAGTAAAATACCCACAACCTAAGATTTACCACCTTAACCATTCTTATGTGTACAGTTCAGTGGTATTGAATACATTGATAGTTTTTGTGAAGCCATTACCACCATCTATCTCCATAACTATTTTTGTCCCGTAAAACTGAAACTCTGTACCTATTTAAACAATAACTCCCCATTTCTCCATCTCCTGCCCCACCCCAGCTCCTGGCAACCACCATTCAACTTTCTGTTTCAGTGAATTTGACTACTTTATGTTCGTCATATGGATGGAATCACATAGCATTTGTCTTTTTGTGAGTGGCTTATTTCACTTAGCATAATGTCTTTCATCCATGTTGTAACATGCATCAGAATTTCCATCCTTTTTAAGGCTGAATAATAATCCATTGTATGTATAGATCATATTTAGCTTATCCATTTTGCATACATGTATACTTGGGTTGCTTCTACATCTTAGCTATTGTGAATAATGCTTCCATGAACATGGGTGTTCAAATATCATTTTAAGACCCTGCTTTTACTTCTTTTGGGTATATAACCAGAAGTGAAATTGCTAGATCATGTGGTATTTCTGTTTTTAATTTTTTGAGGAACTGCCATTCTGTCTTCCACAGAGGTTGTGCCATTTTACATTCCCATCAACAGTGCACAAGATCTCCAGTTTCTCCACATTTTCACTAACACCTGTTATTTTCTTTTTTTTTTTTTGATAGTAGCATTCCTAATGGGTTTGGGGTGGTATCTCATTGTAGTTTTGATTTGCATTTCCCAAATAATTAGTGATGTTGGCCATCTTTTTATGTGCTTGTTGACCATTTGTAAACCTTCTTTGGAGAATGTCTAGTCAAAGAATGTCAAGTCTTTTGCACATTTTTAAATTGGTTTTTTTGGGGGGGTTGTTGTTGAATTTTAGAGTTCTCTCTATATTCTGGATATCAGTCCTTTATCAGATATATGATTTGCAAATATTTTCCCCATTCTGTGGGTTGCCACCCTGGGGTCTCTAGTATGCAAGACAGAACATCAGTCCCAGGCATCCTGGAGCTTCAATTCCTGTGGATAATTCAGTTATGTAAATAGGACTGTAAAATGATGTGTTGAGGGGGAGGGAGTAGGATGTTATGGGAGCCCATAGGACGGCCACCTAACCAGCTTTGGGCAGAATGGCAGCCTGTGCAAAGGCTCAGAGGGGTAGAGAGCATGGCCTGCTTGAAGACTTTTTGCTGCAGCGTGAGGGCACAGAGGAGGAGCAGAGGAGCCAGAGTGGCACTGAAGTGGCTAGAGAGAGAAGCAGGGTCCTAGATCTTGAAGAAATTTGTGAGCCTCGTTGAGAGGTCATGCTTTATTCTCAGGGCAGTGGGGAACTACTGGATGTTCTTAAGGGAGTGATATACACGGATTTGCATTTAGAAGGTCGCTCTGGCTACAGTAAGAGAGGGAAGACTAGGAACAGGTGTCCTACAATCATCCACCTTACAGAGGATACTTTTCTGGACTATGATTGTATCGGTGATGATGGAGAGAAAAGGACCAATTCAAAAGATACGGAGGAAATAGAAATTATGGGACTTGGTGATTGACTGGATGTTGGGTGAGGAAGAGGAAGGGGTTAAGGATGGTATTCAGGTTTCTGGCCAGTGAACTGGGAAGACAGTAATATTATTCACTGACATAGAGAACACAAGAAGAGGATCAGATTTGGTGGGTCGACGTGAGTTTAGATTTGATCATATGGAGTTTGAGGTGTTTATGGGTCTCTAGAACATTTTGAAATAAAAGGTGACAAAAAAGAGAAACCTACAAGTACATATGTATGCATGTTATGGTCAAAGGAGAACTATATAATGTTGTCATTTTTGTTCCAATCTTTACATTACCTATAGTTTTCAGTCTGTTAAAAAGGTTTTAAAAATCTGTACTTTTGTATGTATGCCAGCAACAGATAGTAAAACTTAGCTAGTAATACATCTCTGCAAGCGCACTCCCATGCCTCATGTTAATTTGCTCCTGTTAGCAACAGTCACAGGTACAAAGATTACAGATGACACTGAGCAGCAATATTGCTCTTCATTGTCATACTGTATTCTCTAAAGCATAGGAACGTCCAGTGTATTGAACAAGGAAGAGATAGAATGAATTAAACGAGTAAAATATACCAGTTTGAAAGAGAGGAAACTACCCCTTTCTTATCACTCTTAAGGTGATATATTATGCTTTGCAAAACGATACAAGACTTATTGTTCCGTAATAAAGGCTACTTAACTGTTACTGTTTTTTTTAAAATGAAAACACCTTAGGTATATTGCATGAAGTACATCCTATTGAAGGCTGAATGGAAAGCACAGAATGCTGACAGAGTAGAAGAAGAAATTTAAAAATAATGGAAGAGGTCAATTGATTTTACATTAAAGTTTGAAATATATCCCCTGTCAGCAAAACATTAATTTGTTGGGTATGAAATGGAAAAATATGCACGTATATACACATACGTATATATCCATCTAATGATACTCATTTGATGTTAAGTGGATGCAGAGTGGGCTGGGAAGAGAGGATAAGAGAGAAATAAAAAAAAGAATTTAAATGGAAAATGTAAAGTGATCTAAGAAACACATAAGCTTTAAAAAAATTCCTTATTTGAATTCAAGCCAGCCACACCAGATGCTAATAGTAGGCAAATAAACTAGAATATCTGCAATCAGAAAGAACAGATGTGATGATCCTAAAAACATAAAGTATATCATGCTTATCTTTGAAGATGTGGAGTTCAAACTTAGTACACCAAATTTGGAATAATTTTCATTTGCCAAAGTTTAGGTTTCTAATTTAAATTAATAAGCTTACACTAGGAAATTGTATTCAGGATGTCAAAGATCGCATATTTTGGTGATGCAGGATATGAGAGATGAAAATTTAAAGTAAAATGTAGGGCAAAAAATGCTGTCTGTAAAGCAACAAAAGAATCTTGTAACTTAAATTTCTTTAGATTATTCTATTATACTAAAATATCATTAGCTAATATCTAGCCCTAACCAGAGTAATGATATTTCTTAGTGCAGTGGAGACTTTATGACACAGTCTTTGATAATGGGGTTTAATGAAGTCATTCCCTGAGCCTGGGGTGGTGGGGGGAACATTCATCAATCAAACACCTTCTTTGTTAACCTCAAATTGCTTTTTCCCTCTTTGTATTGGATAGCTATCGCTGAATAACAAATTACTCCCTGTAGCTTAGCAGCTTAGAGGAAAAAGCATTTACTGCTTCACAGTTTCTGAGAGTCAGGAATTTGGGAGTGGTTGACATAGTGTTTCTGGCTCAGAGCTTCTCATATAGTTGCTGACAAGATGTCAGCAGGGGCTGGCAGGAGGCCTCAATTCCTTGCTAATGGCTCTTCTCCATAGGCTGCCTGAGTATCCTCAAAACAGGGCAGCAAATTTCCCCCAGAGAAAACGAATAAAGCCAAAGCAAGGGGGATGCTACAATGTTTTTGCTGCTACCATTTCCTATTAATTGGAAGAGAGTCACTAAGTCCAACTCCCATTTAAGAGGAGGAAAATTAAACCCCTTAAAGGGAAGAATATCAAAGAATTTGAGGCCATATTTTAAAACAACTGGCACCCATGCTTCCCTGTCCCTACTAGCCTTTTGCTTTTTACTTCAGTCTTTTAGGTCAGAAACTGATCTTTTAAACTGAAGTATAGTTGATTTGCAATATTATATTAGTTTCAGGTGTACAACATAGTGATTCAACCCATTTAAAGTTATTATAAAATATTGGCTATATTCCCTGTGCTGAACATTACATCCTTGTATCTTTTTTTTTCTGTCTTTTTTTAGTCAATTTTTCTTGGGTAAATTTCTTCAGTTAATTAGGTCAAATAGAATATATCCATGATGAGTCTCTTGGCTATAGCCACAAGATGAATTTACCATCCTGGACAACACATTATCATCACTTGGAAACTAATGTTTTAGACTATCGCCTAAAAGGCAGAAGACATGATTGAATTTAAGGTAATAATCTTCGGTTTCTATTTGTAGAACCCTCCCTTTTATACCAACTGACTAGCAATTGATGTTTCCCCTGTTGCTGTAAAATCACTCATCCAGTGGTAATAGTAGCTACACAGACTAGTCTGCATTGAGGGTCAAGAGAAGAGCCCCCTGGGAGAAGTAGGCATTAAGGCTTGCAATTTGATCGCTATTCAACAACGACCCAAAGCCCTGGAGCCAAGCTACAAAACACACACTGAGCATCCTTCTATGGGCATGTGTTGGTGGAACAAATGTCCAGAATAGGAATTATTGGTTAGTGGGCATATGCGTTTAAAACTTTAATAAGATATGGTCAAATGACCTCTAAAATTATTGTTCCAATGTGCCCTCCCCCCAGAGTGTGTGAGAGTGCTGGTTTCTGCTCCTCTTCACTCAGCCCAGGTGCCTTCAGATGGTCTAAGCTTTGCCTTGTGATGAGCACCATGGCTGTTTTCCCCACATTAGCAAATAGAAGGAGGGCTGATACCTGTGAAAACCTCTCAGTCAGTGTCCAGTTCATTCAGCATCCATCATGGTATTCTATGGAATGTATAAGAGTAGAGGATGGGACTGAGGTCCAAAGGGTGGGAGGTGGGTCAAGGGGAATGGTTAGTGGCCTCAGCTGACATGGGACTGTGAGCATAGGTTGGGGAATGCAAACTGGTGAGAGAGTCCAGAGCAGGGCTCTGGGAGTCTGGGAAGTGGATGCTGAGTGCAC